ATGTTGTAATAGATTTTTCATTTACTCTGTTACAAAACCAAAAAAAAAAATAAAAACGAATACACTCGAATTTTGATTACAAAATAAATAACAAGACTCGTAAACCGCAAATAGGTTGTTTAAGGAAAGTTTATGAGAAAAAAATCTTAAAAGTAAAGAAGAGGAAATGGCGGGCTTGGGTTTCCCTTAGAATATAAACCACCAAAAATTTATTATTTATTAATTTTTACCTCAAAACAGGGCAAATTACCTATAGTGCAGCGGTAGTATACCGATAGTGTTAGGTAACAATATCAAAATGTGCAATTAATAGATCAAATCAGATACCCCACTCGTGTCATAAGCATTTTACGAGTTTTCTAAATTGTGACCTTTTAAGAGGAATGTACCAACAAACGGAGTGGACCAAAGGTTCCTCAAAGGAACTTGGGGAGCTTTTTAAAGTTTTGGGTTTGATTTGTTACAAAAATATATTTGAGTGGTATTAATTTTGATTGTGGTTTTTGTGTCCTTAAACATGCTAGAATATATAACGTTATATGTTTTGTAAACTTTTCTTGAAAACCAAGATTTGTATCAAAACCTAAAATGGACTTAAACCATTTTCAAAAAAACTGACTCAAATATTGGGGAATTCCAGAGGGATTCTCAATTAGTTTTAATTAATATTTAAAATTTGCCTACATTTCCATTCTTTTCAGATCAAATAGGATACACCGCTAACATTTATTTTCCTTCAAAATGTTGACTATTTTGTGGTGGTACCAGTGGTTCGATATTTCCTACCCTTCATATCAATTTATGTTTGAATGAAATATTACGCACAAACAATTCAGACGGATATATCAAACGGAAACGAATTTGGGATTTAAAACTGTGTTACCATGCTCACAAGTCATAGAGACGGAACAAAATTTCTAAATCACCTCCAAATTGTCTATGTTGGATTTTGGTACCAACCGAACTGGTCCGAAATTTCCCACCATCCATTTCAATTTATGTTTGGATTTGGTACCAGCCGATATAGTCCAATATTTCCCATCTTCGGTCTTAATTTATGTTTGAATGAAATATTACGATGTTCAAAGTTGGGATTGAAACCGTTACCCCCACCTTCGAGGGTAACCCTACACAGAAGTCAGATAAACGGGCATTTCAAAATCACCTCCAAATAGTCTGAAACGGATCTGTTCCAAAGGTACATGGGATCTAAAGTTTTTTATATATAAGAAAAAGAATTCAATCATGAAACCAAAAAATAATTTTAATTACAGAAAAAAAATGAACATTTAAAATAATTTCTTTTTGGGTTTTTTCGTACTGGAACGGGGTGTTTTGCGAGTGGCATAAATGTGAGTTTGCACCTTCAGTTCATTGTCATTATCCCCTTCATCGCCGTCTTCTTGGGCCACAACATGACCATTAGGTGTAACCACACTTGTTGAAATATTTCTTTTAACGTAACCTTCGCCATTGTGCGAATTTTTTGCTTCGATAACTGGAGATGTTGTTGTCATTTTGTAAACCTCCTCTTGTTGGATTGTTGTTGTTGCTTGTGAGTTTGTTGTTGTTGGTTCGGTATTAATTCTATTTGAAATGTGTTCCTCATTATTTTGAATTTCTTGTTGATTATTTTTGGAAATTTTGCCATCAATTTTGCTATTGGTAATCTTTGTAATATATATTTTTTTTAGAATTCAATAAAATTTTGAAAATAAAAAGTAGAAATTAAAAGAAAATCATAATATTGAATGATTTAGAAAAATAATTTTAAAATAAAGAAAATTCTTAAATACACATGGATTGAAAAGTTCTGGACCAATACAAAATGTAAGCATATTTGTATCCAAAACATAGGATATCGGACCAAATTTGCATTGAATGGAAAATATTTCATTGTAAATCGGATACTGAATCCTCTTTATATAAAATTAGAAAATTTCCAAAATGTACATTTTTTTGTGGAGATGGTACCCCACCAGCGGGAGTATACCGATAGTTTTGGGTAACAATATTAAGATGTGCAATTAATAGATCAAATCAGATACTCCATTCGTGCCATAAGCATTTTACAAGTTTTCTAAATTCTGACCTTTTGAGAGGAAGGTAACAAGGGGAGTGGACCAACGGATTCCCATCCACGGACTTCATGTCCGAAATTTCTAAATCAACTCCAAATTGTCTGAGTTGGATTTGGTACCAACCGAAGTGTTTCCGTATTTCCTACCATACATTTCAATTTATAATGGAGGGGTTTTAGAGAAGTACAGGGAGAACAGCATCAATAATATTTGTTTAAAACCTATAATTCGATAAGACTCTCTACGAGACTTTTTGTGCGCACCAGACGGATATTTCTAAATCACAATAAAATTGCCTAAAACCTAATTTCGTGTAAATCGAAAGAAATATAGGGGCTTTGGAACATAAAATCGGAACAAAATATATATGGGAGCTTTATCTAAATCTGAACGGATTTCTACAAAATTTAACACACAACATTCTAGACTAAATTCAATAGGTTAACCAAAATTTCATCTCAATCGGAAACGGATCTGTATTTGGTACACCATTTACATAAAATCGGACGAAAATATATATGAGAGCCATATCTAAATCCGAACCTCTTTTTACAAAATTATGTAAATATATCTAAAATCTAAAGCAAAACTTCAGTATATTGAAATTTATTTCACATCTGTTCTAAAAAAATATATATTTTTGACTTCTAAAGTTTGAAACACTTCCACAGGATTCCATCCATGTAAATATCTTCAAAATATAGATCATTACATGGATAGAACAAGTCGGTGTTGCCGGAATTAGGATAGGAATTAGACACAGATTTTATCATTAGCTTTATGTATGAAATATGTTTTTAATGTTGATAAAATTTTATAAAATATTGACCATTTGTGAGGTAGGTACCGGAAGGAGTGGACTACTGGGTCCCATCTTTGGACTTAATCCATATTTCGTAAAGATAATGGGTTTTGCAAAGTTTGGTTCAAATCAGACAATTCATTTGCCTGATATTGGATTTACTAATATTGAAAATGTTAACCATTTGTGGGGGAGGTACCAGAAGGAGTGGACCAACGGGTCCCATCTTCGGACTTAATCTAGACTTCGTAAGGATAATAGGTTGTGCATAGTTTGGTTCACATCGGACCTTCCATTCGCCTGATATTGGATTTACAAATATTGCAAAATGTTTACCATTTGTGGGGCAGGTACCAGAAGGAGTGAACCAATGGGTTCCATCGTTGGACTTGATCTAGACTTCGTAAGGATAATGGACTGTACAAAGTTTGGTTCACATCGGACCTTCCATTCGCCCGATATTGAATTTACAAATATTGAAATTTTTTACGATTTTTAGCACAATTTTGGCCATTTTGTGGGGGAGGTATCTGAATTTTTACGATTTTTAGCACAATTTTGGCCATTTTGTGGGGGAGGTATCTGAAGGAGTGGACCAATATTCCCCATCTTCGAACTTAAACTAAGTTTGGACGAAATATTAAGATGTGCAAAGTTTGAATGAAATCGGCTGCTGCCTTCAAGAGTTATCGTCCGCACCAGCCAGCCAGACGGGCAACGCACGGACGGACAACATGGCTAAATCGACTCCAAATTTTCTGAAACGGATTTGGTCCAAAGGAACATGGGGTCTAAAACCAATATTTCGATGAGGCACATTTTCACCGTATCAAAGTGTATATACGCTCATTAGCCTAAAGGCTAAGGATATACAATAAATAGAATACCTTCCACAGATCTTCTATAGAACACCTTCAAATGTCTCCTGTTGGTAGAATACCCTACAAACGTACTCTTTTCTAATTTGTTCTGGAAATAGAATATCTTCTGTAGGAGTTCTACATGCCTTCTCTATAAAGAAAGCAAACGAAAGATAGAACATCTTTTATAAATCCTCTATATAAACTCTCTCCTATAACTTCAAGACCAATCCCTAATAGGACACCTTCCATAGGCCATCTATAAATACAAGATCTTCCACAGGTCTTCTAAAAGATAGCCTACAGGCCATAAATTTCATTTATAAATGTAACTACTTCTATAGATTTGATATGATATTTATTTAGAAACAATGTACTATTTGCGAGGAGACATTCTTATCATTCTTGCCTATAAATGTGGCATAGTAAAATTAAAATATAAATATATATATTACTACACATTTTAGAATAGTATAAAACTAAAATTAAAAAAAAAAAAACATTTTCTTTTATTAGGTCTGGGACTTTTCAACCCATGTGTTATTTATATGTATTCAAGATTGCAGTATTAAGGATAAAAAAGTATGCTTAATGTAAAACAAACAAAAATTAAAAAATGCAAACATAATTATATATTTAAAAAAAGTAATTCTTTAGAGCATAATATTTCCTATACACTGAAAAAATAAGAGCATATATTTTTTTAAAAAAGAAATTGGCTTTACTTTTTGTTTTTTAATTGGGAATAAAGAAGAAAATAAAATAAGGGTGTTAACCAAACCAAATGCAATGTGTGCATACAAAAACTTTATACTAAAAAGAAACTATTCCAACTTAAAAAAATAGGTAGTAAGAAAATAAAAATAAGCTTGTTTTTGTTAATATGAGATACTCAAAATGTTAACAATATACCAATATTGGTGTAGTTTGTGCAAGGAGTTTATACGAAATGTAATTTGTATTCCCCCCGAATTATTTAATATTTTGGTTAACATTTTCAATGCCCTATGATTTTTTTGAGAAATATAAGATTGAAAAACAAAAAAAAAAATATGAAAAAATATTGAAAATTTTCACACATGCAAACATTGAAACTATTGATGGATCTCTTACAGCATTGCTGCTGTCGTTTGGTGGCTGTGTTTAATTTAAAATTATTATTCATGAATTGTTTTCTGTTTACTTTTTTATTAGTTTTATTTATATAATTTTTTATCTGCTTAAATAGAATCAGCATTCTATAATTTTGTCCCTTAATTTCATTTATTTATTTACTTTTTTAAATAAACTTTAAGTTTATACAAGACGATGTGTGTGGTTATATCTCAATCTTTATCCCAATGTAAAAAAGAACCTAAATGATAGTCTATAAATCATTTAATTTAAATATTATTGTTGTTGGTGTTATTTTCTGTATTTGTTGCAGTTGTTGTGGTTGTCGCTGTGTTTTTTGTTGTTGTTGCGGTTTGTATTGTATTAATGTTTGTGTCAAATAATAGCGCAGTATTAACTAATTGTTAAAATCTGGATCTTACAAATACAGCACTGGAATCGTGTTCACTATAGCCCAGACGTTTGGTGTGTTTGAAAACTTCATTTGTTATCGATGTAACAGGCATTGATTGATCTAGATTTTCGGCCATACTTAGAACTAAACGTAAATCTTTTTGCATATGACTGAGCGGTTGTTGGGGATTGAAATCGCCTTTGGCCATTTCTGGAAAAAAATAAAGAAAAATATAAAATCAAAATTATTAGAATTTAATGTAAAAAAATGAAAAAAAAAATAATTTATGTTTTTCTATAGAAAAAATAATCTTGAATTGTTTTCGAATTTGTTTCTATACGAAAAAAATTGTTTTCAAATTTGTTTCTATACGAAAAAATTGTTTTCGAATTTTTTTCTATACGAAAAAAATTTTTTCTATACGAAAAAAATTGTTTTCGTTTATTTTTCTATACGAAAAAAAATTGTTTTCGTTTATTTTTCTATAAGAAAAAATTGTTTTCGATTTTTTTTTCTATACGAAAAAAATTGTTTTCGTTTTTTTTTCTATACGAAAAAAAAATTGTTTTCGTTTATTTTTCTATACGAAAAAAAATTGTTTTCGATTTTTTTTTTCTATACGAAAAAAATTTTTTTCGATTTTTTCTATACGAAAAAAATAGTTTTCGATTTTTTTTCTATAGAGAAAAAAAATTTTTTTCGATTTTTTTTTTCTATAGAGAAAAAAAATTTTTTTCTATACGAAAAAAGTTTGTTTTCGATTTTTTTCTATACGAAAAAAAATTGTTTTCGATTGTTTTTTCTATACGAAAAAAATTGTTTTTTTTTCTATATGAAAAACATTGTATCGACTTTTTTCTATACGAAAAAAGGTTTCGATTTTTTATATAAAACTACTATTTGGACTTTTTCTTTCAAAAAAAAAAAAATATATATATATATATATATATATATATATTATATTATATATTATATTATATATATATATTATATGATATTATATTATATGATATTATATTATATTATTTTATTTTTATATAAAATAAGACTTCGAATCTTTTTCTTTCTTTCTTACCTCTGCCTTTGGCTAATAATAAATCTGATTTCATAGATGTTAATTGGAAAATATCCAATATATCCTTTAGAGAAATTGAAAAACGATCAGCTGCAAGAGATAAAAAAACAATAATTAAAAACACCATTTCGAAAAAAATCACATTCAATAACACTTACCCAATGCTAAGGCCTCTGATAAACCAACCAAACTTACGCCCAATATGGTCTGTAGTATCAAATTTACTTTGCACGCATTGCCAACATCTGCTAAAGTATTAATACGGGTAGTATAAAACAATAAAAATAAAACATAACAAAAGCGCGAAGAGGATGAAATAAATAATAGAAAAAACACCCAAAAAGAAAAAAAGAGAAACAAAAAAAGCAAATTAAGCAAAAAAGAAAATAGCCAATTATTGCATATAGCACATAATAATGATGATAATAAACGAATAAAAATATAATATAATAAAAACACAAATAAATTAATAATAAAATTAAAAGCAAAAAAACGTTAAAAGTATAAATATATAAAAGAAAAAAATGGATAGAGAAGCAAAAAAATGCAGTATATAACAGAGAGTAGAGTAATCGACAAGACACAAAAAGCAGTGAGAAAGAAGAAGAAAAAACACAACACGTTAAAATTTATTTGTGACAAATAATATTGTGTGTTTAAATTATATAGTTAACAAAAATTAAAATGTGTTTTTTCATTTTGCAATGCAAAGGTTTGAAGTAGGACATGGAAATAAATCGGGACATAAATAGGACATCTTCAAACAAATCTTACAAAAATCGATCGAAACTTTTCTGTGATTAAATTTTTGTGGTAAGAATATTTGCTACTCAATGGGAACCCAAAATATCGAATTCGTAAAAATTCGGTTGAAGGACGTGCCAAGACTGCACCAAAATAGCGTTATATGAGGGACTACCCCAACAAGTGGACCAATATCGATAATTTTTGGTAGGAAGATAGGCTACACTATCAGAAACAATAATAACAAATCACAGCCATTTCGATTGAAACTGGTGTCCCCAAAATATCGAAATTTCGGAGGTATCGTTATATGGGGACTATCTTGAAAAGTGGACCAATATCGATAATTTTTGGTCGTAAGATATGTTACCAAGTGAGGGGCCATCATCTATAATTATAGTCATTTCTGTTGAAATATTTGCCAAGAATCTCCAAAATAACGAATATTGGGGACTAAAATTATATGGCGCTATATCAAAAAACTTGGACCGATATATTCCATTTCCAATACATACTGTGTGTGGGAAATTTTAACGATCTATATTCTCTTTACAGTTGTTGTTGTAACAGCCCTATTGTTTTTACACAATGGACGGAGTTGACAGACGTTGGCCAAGTAAGACTAGGGTCAATTTGGATCGTGGTCGGAAACGAGTTTTACAGTTGGATGTCTTTGGTAAAAATATAGACAGGCTAGCTAGATTTAGAACATAGCAAATTTTTTACTTTCTTTTCAAATATGTAAAAAAATCATATTATACTCTAGGAACATAGTTTTAATTGTACCAACAAAGTATGCCCTTTCGAAACCTTTGCATTTGTGATACACTTCCAATTGGTGCGGAATTTGTTTGTGAACAAAAAATATTTTCCTACTGGCAATTACAAACTTACCTCCCAAGAAGAATGTGTTTTTGGCAATTGTTTTAAAGCAGGATTGACATTCATCGAATACCGTACGATCGCCACCGGCCAATATGATTAGCATGCCATCTTCAGCTTCTTGGCGGGTGCCATGGATTTGTACCTCCAGATAACGGCCATTACTTTGTGTTATGCCCTCGGCAATATCTTGTGAGGTTTCTGGATCTATTGTGGACATTTCAACATAGGCTTTGTTGCATAGATCAGCACGTAAGACACCGCAGTTGCCGAAAACCAACTAGGAAAATAAAAAAAAAATAATAATAAAAAAACAAAATTATTAAAAAAAAAAACATTAAAAAAATATTTCACTTACATCCTTTGAGGCCTTTGGATCTGAAACACAACAGAAGATAATGTCAGCTGCATTTACCACATCCTCCGGCGTTTCTTTAACATCTGCCCCAGCCTCTCTAAATGGTTCACATTTTGACATTGTACGATTCCACACAATCACCTTGTGTCCGGTACATATTAGATCCTTGACAATGGCCGAACCCATTATACCCAAACCCAAGAAACCAAATGTCAAATCCGATGGTACAATATCACGTTCGGCCAGTGTCTGTGAACGCGTACTCATATCGATAGTTTGTGTTTCGGGTACCCTAACATGTGGCCGTTCCAACAAGGCAATGGACGTATTATTGCGACGCGGTGGACTAATACTACCGCCAATGTGTGCTAAAGCTTCGTTGAGTATACGACGACGCGGCGATGCAGTCTCTTCCAAATAGTCATTATTGATATGTGGCGGCGTTGTATCGTTACGTTTACGTTTTGTGGTGGCCGGTGTTTGTGAGGCGCGTCGTTTTGTTGTTGATGCCTTCGACGATATGGTCGATTTGGCGATTTTTGTTGTAGGTGCGGTGGAGGCTTTTGGCTTGGGTACACGTTTTGCGGGTGTTTTAGTCACCACCGGTGTCGTCGTCGCCGCCCCTGCTGCAACACCATCTTTATTCTCATCTAAATCGGAAATTTCTCCGTTATTGTTGTCCAAATTATTTGCATTTGTATCGATGGTGTTTTCATCTTCCGTTGTATAACCATCACGTATCTTATCAAAATCGGCTTCGGTCGGTTGGCTGCGTATACCGGTACTTTTACTAATGAACTCATCGATTTCGGTAGGATCTTCCATGTGTTTTTTAATATCCTCCATGGCCTGACGGAACGATGCTGGTTTATTTAATTTTGATAATTGTTCTTTCCATGGTCCCTCGAAGGGTTTGATATTATTGATTTCAATCCAGGCGCTGAGGGGAGAGATAATTGAATTAAAAATTAATATATGAATTAATGGAGTTTAAATTCGAAATACTTACAAATTGCGGGATCCAAAAAAGAATACACATTTTGAACTTGTTTTGTGTGTATTATTTAATAATTCTAGAGGTGGCTCAACAATCTGCAAAGAAAAAAATAAAATATTGAAAATATTAGTATATGGAAAGGATTATGAGATATTTTTATAATTTATCATAAACTTAGTATGTATATAGAAAAAACTTCCTAAAAAACACATTACTATAAAATTTTAGGAAAAACTACCGAACCTCAAATTATTTTTGGTAGAGATATTTACTACCCTATGGGAACCTAAAATATCAAATTACAGCCAATTCAGTTGGAAAACGTGATAAGAATCATCAAAATCAGAAAATTTAGGGCTACTGTTATATGGGGGCTATACCTAAATGTGGACCAATATTATTTTGTGGAAGATTTGCCACCTAATAAGAATCTAAAATACCAAATTTAAATCGATTCGAATGGAACACTGTCAAAAATCTTCAAAAAATCGAAAATCGAAGGGCACCCTTATATGGGGGCTATCCTAAAATCTGGACCAATTTGGATAATTATTGGTAGGGAGGATTTCTGCATAAAGAGAATCCCAAAATATCAAATTACAGCCAATTGAGTTGGAAAACGTGATTAAAATCACCAAAATCAGTTTGAAAACGTCTTTAAAATAAAAAAATCGGAAAATTCTGAGATACTGTTATATGGGGGCTATACGTAATAGTGGACCAATATTCACAATTTTTGGTAGGGAGATTTGCCACCTAATAAGAATATAAAATACCAAATTAAAATCAATTCAAATGTCCAAAATCTTCAAAAAATCGAAAATCCAAGCGTTTCCTTATATGGGGGCTATCCTGAAATGTGGACCAATTTGGATAATTTTTGGTAGGGAGGTTTTCTGCATAATGAAAACTCAAAATATCAAATTACAACCAATTTAGTTGGAAAACGTGATTGAAATCACCAAAATCAGAAAATTTAGAGGTACCCTTATAATGGGAACTATACCTAAATGTGGACCAATAGTAATTATTTTTAGAAGGGAGATTTACGACCTAATAAAAATCTAAAATTCCAAATTAACACCAATTCGGATGGAGAAGTGCCAACAATATTCAAAGAAATCGAAAATCAAATGGTTCCCTTATATGGGGGCTATACTGAAAAGTGGACCAATAATGACAATTTTTGGCATGGAGGTTGTCTGCACATTGAGACGCCCTTTTAAAATTCCACATCGTATCTAGACCATCATTGAGGGCAATAACATTGCATTTATAAATAATATAATTCAGAATATGCGGTTTATATTGAATTTATAGAGAAATTGAAATTGAATGCAATTTAACAGTCATAACCCCACAACACACAGTGTGTGGAGAATAATTGAAGTTGTCGGTTGGTTGGTTGGTACCAACAAAATGAAGAAAATCGCATTTTTTAGTTGGATTCTATTAATAATACAAAACGAACGAGTAAAATGTTACAGCGAACATAAAGAAAATCGAAATACTGTTTTAAATGCATCTGCATACAATGAAAAGACAATAATTGATTATCAGGTAAGGTAATTTTTGTTTCAAAAAATAATTAAAGCTAAAATATTTTTGTCTCATCCCAGAATGGCACAACACTGGAACTGGATTGCTGTAAACGCAAATATTATCTGATGGAGGGCAACAATCTCTATAAAGAATATTGTGAAAATGGTTGTTTAAATGGCAAATGTGACGATCCCAATGCCAGGTGCACATGTAATCTTGGCTATAGTCTTGTGGAGGGTAATAAAACCTGCACACCAATTTGTATGGATAATTGTAAAAATGGCCAATGTATTAAACCAAATTTATGTATATGCAACGTAGGTTTCAAATGGAATGTTTTCAAACAAAAATGTGAAAGTACCCGCATGAAAATAGCATGTATTGAAGGTTTTCGTTATAGCATCAAATTGCATAAATGTTTACCATATTGTTCACAAGGTTGTTCGACAAATGGTATTTGTATTGCACCCGAAGTTTGTCGGTGTATGCGAACGAGAACAGCCGTCGAATCATATGGGTCAAATTGTATTAAATCGACTCTGTTGGGTTCGAAACGTAATCAAATATTTGTTGTATTTGTATTTTTATTAGTTTTGTTACTTACTGGAAGTCGTATTTATTTTAAATGTAAGCATACATTTTACAGGCCCCTGATTAATGAGGGTAGTCAAAAAGTTGTGTAAATACTTAAATAAGGAATAAGGGATAATAAAAAACAAAAACAAAAGCAAATTATATATATTTTTTAAAAATAAACAAGCAAACAAGCACAGGGACGAATTGGAAAAAATCTGAACCTATTTTCACGCAACTTAGAACACATCATTGTAGACTCAATTCAGTACGCTATGCAAAATTTCGTGCAAATTGAAAGTATTATAGGGGCTGTGGTGCACCATTTACATATTTATATATATATATATGTGTGTGTGAGTTATATCTAAATCTGAATCGATTGCAACAAAACTTCGCATACATAAATCTGGACATAATTCAGTACGCTGTTCAAAATTTTGTCTCAATTGGACGAATATTGGGAGTTTGGAGCACCATTTAGATAAAATCGGACGAAACTATATATATATATATATATATCTAAATCTGAATCGATTTTCTCTAATTTCATTAAGGTTCGTCCTTGGGTCAAATAAGTGACCTGTGTCAAATTTCAACCAAATCGGATCATAAATGCGACCTGTACTTTGCTCACTAAAAATACATGAACGAACGGACAGACCGAAAAAAATATATCGACTCTGAAAGGGATTCTATGCATAATCTCAAAAGGAGCCATAGTTTTGCTGTTGCCTGTAACAAACATCTGTACAAAGACATGATACCCTGTTGACACAGTGTGGTGAAAGGTATAAACATGGGGTTATTAGGGGAATACGCCTAACCGTTGGCGAACATTAAACAAATTTAGGAGGGAGATTTGTTATCACATACAACTACAAAAAAAAACCAATTACAGCGATAATTCGTTTGAAAAACGCGTTCAGGAACCCCAAAATACCAAAAATTAGGGTACTTTTATATGGGGCTACTAGAAAAATGTTTATGAAGAGATAGAACCAAATAAGAACTGAAATTACAAAATTGTAAAATTCGGTCGAAAAATACGTTGAAACCCACCCCAAAATACTGAAAATTTGGGGTACCGTTATATGAGGGCTACCAGAAAAAGTGGACCTATATTTATTATTTTTACTTATTAATTTTGTTTGCAGTCGAGGTTATTATTTTTTAATAACTTATGGGTAAATTGACGTAAGTTGACGACTGACGATTCAGGACAATATTTTCTTCATGGTTTGCCCATAGGCGTGGATTTTTTGAAGAATATTTTCTTCAGGGCTTGCCCATAGTCGTGGATTTTTTGATGAATATTTTCATCAGGGCTTGCCCATAGTCGTGGATTTTTTGAAGAATATTTTCTTCAGGGATTATCCTTAGGCATGAATTTTTTGAAGCATATGTTTTCAAAAACCATATCGTAATAATACGCCGCTTAAGACATTAAAATCGGCATGGTCATTTTTATTACATTAAAAATAATCAGATTTGAGTGTCTAGGTCCACTGTAATGATTGTTCTTGTCTTCAAGAAGTTTTTGGTCAATTACTAATAATTTATTATTTTATTTTTAATTATTAATGCAGTAGTGTTAATTTGTGGTCGGAATGAATACTTTTTATTCGAAAATAATTCGAACAAATATGCATACCACTTGAAAAAGATCATTACACATGCCAACGCAATTGAAGAAAACCACAAGAATAAAATAGTGACAAATTGGTTTATAACAATATTGGCTAGTAATACACTTTTCAATTTTATAAATAAAAAAGAGTATATTTACGCATAACTAATTAATTTTGAATTTTCAAACATTGAGTGTATATAAAAATAATAAATAAATACTATATAATAATATAAATTATTGTGCCACATGCTTATCTTGTTGTTGTTACATGGCTGTATTTTGCGTTTTATATTTTTGTTCAACTTTTTGCGGTTCGTAATCGACTTTACGTGTCATGCATTTCACCAAGAACATTATGAGTAGAACAAATACCAGGACACTGGATAGGAAAATACCCGATAACTTCATGACATGTGGCATACGTTCTTCACAAACAACATCGGGACCTTGATGTAACAACGATATCATATAACCATCAATACAATCACATTTACCATTTGATTCACAATAGCCATTTTGGGGACATGGTAATTCACAGATATTCTCTTGACAATTTTTAAGTGTGGCATTCAACGAGTATCCCAGATTACAGGCACATACATCTGGTTCAATGCATTTACCATTTAAACATTCTGGCTCACATATTGGTTCACATTTTGTATTATTTTCTATGGAACGATAACCTTTGTTACATTCGCATTGATTGGGTCGTACACATTTACTAAATGCTTGACATGGTTCTTTGCATATGGGTTGGTTGCATATCATCGAATTGCTGGTGGCATTTCCATATTTATAACCTTCAAAACATGTACAATGTTCAGGTTTGGTACAATTGCCAAAACCGCAATCCATGGAACAAATTGGTTGGCAAATTTGTGTATTTTCATGCAATCTATAACCCTGGTGGCAAACACACTCGCCCGGTGCAACACAATTTCCATTTGGACAATTTTCAATGCAAACCGGTTCACATTGGCCATTATTGAGGTGGTAGCCTTCACAACAAAAACGTTCGGTTATTGTAATTTTTGTTGGCTAGAAAAAATCCAATTATTTTATTATTGTCTTTAATATCAAAAATCCCACATATACCTCTAATGTTCCATCGTTATCCACTTGATATGTTCTATAGGACATTCGTGTACACCAATGTTCCGCTAGGGCATGACAGCAATGCAATGAAATTGCCAAAATTAGCAAAACATGTAATATTGCCATGGCCATTCTGAGTGTGTACTTTTCTTTTAAAATTCAATTTCAATCCACCGGCAACAAGTTGTCGTAACTCTTCTTTTTAAGTATAAAATTACACTGAATATACAGTCATTGATGCAAATTGTTTTATGACCATAAAATTATACATAGATTTCTGTGTTTTTTTTTTCTTCTTTCTTTAATATTATCAAATAACCACAAATGCCTATTGTGATATTTCTGGTGCAAGGAAATTGGCACAATACAGAGAGAAGAGGGCGGCCATAAAGATATTTCTATGATATTCTTAGCTTTTTACTATAATTAAATATTGAATTTGTAATAATCAAAGAAGAATTTCAAAAGATTTGAGTTTTAAAAACGCCGATTTTGTCTATTTTAAAAACCTTTAAATAAAATCACAAAATACTTTAAACAAGTGCCACAAACAAAGTACAACATTTTATATAGCAAACTATTTAAACAAAAATAAATTATGGTAATAAATAATAGTTAACCGGAAGATAATAGCGGAAGCGTTTTTTTTCGAATCTAATCAATTTTGTAAATTATTGTTTAGATATTTAAATTTTATATTTTGTTGTAATCGATAATTATGTGTGTTTTAAAGAAAAACAATTGTATAAGGGCAAGAAGATGAGGGCTATATTTTAGGTTCAATATTATATATAATGTCATGATTTTATTAATCCCGTGACAAATGTTTTTTTTATTAAATAGAGAACAACATCTTTTAATTTGTAATCAATTTTGGTGCCTCGAAGTTCAAAAGAGATATCTCATTCTAAGGATTCTGAAAGTGGTCTTTCTTATAGTTTTTTTTTTGCGATAAATTCACATTTCCCCAAAAAAATTTCAATTGTTATGCCTCCAAATTGGAACGGTACAGTCATGCTAAGGGTTCTAAAGACTGTCATTAATAAATACCGATGTTTGATGTTCAGCTCAGTATTTCTGGTATTTCTTTCTAAGCTAATCACTCCTATTATACAAATTTTGGGATTACGGAGATGTCAATTCACTAATCCAAAAATTATGATATGGGAATTCACAATAACCCCTGTCATAAACAATATTGGGAAAATTAAATTTTGGTGTGTCAAAACGCGTAAATGTATAGATCTTTGGTGTTGTGCTCAGTATTTCTTCCTATGCTAATCAACTATATTATACATATTTGAGGAATAGGGACATGAGCATTACCTATTCACAAAAAAAAATCGCTCTCTCATAAAAATATTGGGAAATGTGAATTTGCGTCATAACTAGTACAACGTCGCTCAATCCAAAATCTAAAATTAATAATAATAATGTTCCAATTAAATCCTCCAAAAATAATTGTATGGGAATTCACAATTACTGACCATCATTTTAATTTGGAAACAGTTTCACGTACAAAGACATTAAATCATATTATAAAAATGTGAAGTCCCTCTTCTAAAAAGTATGGCATTGGAATTCACAATCACCACTATTATAAAAATGTTTGAAAAGGTAAATTCCCTTTCTTTCCCAAAACTTGTACGTGAAAAACTGTTTCCAGATGAAGATGGCTAGAGATGGACAGTGGGTAAATACCCGGTAAATTAGGTAAATACTATATTTGAGGTACCGTTATAAAATCCACGCCTGTCGTAGGCTATTGAAAAAATATTTTTAATCCACGCCTGTCGTAGGCTATTGAAAAAATATTTTTAATCCACGCCTATACTTACTGGTGGCTAAAAAAATATTTTTTTTAAAAATCCACGCCTCCATTGAGGCTAAAAAAATTTGTTAACACCATCCTTTAAAGATGGTTTTAACAAATGGATGGAGATTTGTTAATCGACTCCAATTTGTCTGAAGTGGATTTGGTCTAAAGAAACTTGGGGCATAATCTCATAGTAGCAAAGTGTATATACCCATATTATTAGCCATAAGTCTGAGGATATAAAAAATGTTAATGTAATATGAGCTATATCCAAAATATGGATGGACATTGATCATTTTTTGGTAATGAAATTTAGTACCGTTGTTGTATGGGGACTTGTCTGAAAACTGTACCAATTTCAGCTATTTTTGTTGTTGGAAAGATTTAATACGCAGAGAGAATACTAAATGACAGGCTTGCGTATACTGCACAAAGTCGGGAAAATGCCAAAATTAACCTTCATTGTCCTCCAGAAGGTTTTCTGTCTATAGAAGATCTTCAGCAGTTCTTTAGTCTACAGAAGACACGTAGAAGTTTCTATAGAATACCTCTAGACCATTTTTGGTCTATAGAAAATGTCTAGAAGATTGATTTTTCTTTACTGATGTAAATAGCAAAATTACAATTCATGTATCCTGTGATGCTTTAGACTTGTTTGCAGGACTACCTGAAAAAGTTGACAAATATTTATAATTATTAGTAGGGACTTTGGTACCCAATGAAAGTCCAAAATACTAAATTCCAGCCAATTCGGTTACGAAATCTGCACAAAATTACAGAAATGTTGGGGGTACCTTTATATGAGGGTGAGAGAGATTTGCTACCCAATGAGAACCTAAAGACTAAAATTACAGCTATAGACCAGTTGAAAAATCGCAAAATCCATAAACCTTCAAACCCAGAGAAACGTGTCAAAATTTGGAACCGATTGGATTATTATTTTTTGAGTTATCGTGCCCGCCATTCGTAAAAACACTGCTTCGGAAAAATGTGTTTAAAGTTTGAGAATCACTCTTGCCGTCACTTGATGCCAACACAATAAATCACTTGAAATTTTGTAGGAACATTCTTGAATTAGTGTAGATTCGAAAACCTAACAAAAAAGTTTGACATCGAGAATGGGGGCCCCCTTAATACATTTGAGTAGAACAAATCAAACATTTCCTTCTTTGTTTCGAAAATAAAAAAGAATATATTTATAAAAAATATTATTTCATATTTTATATATATATTGTTCAATACAACTTCACTTAACTCTACATACATAATTATAATAACAATACATATCTTGCATATGTACTCAACTTAACAAACAAAACACCTATGTACTAAAAATAAAGAAAAAGAAAATATAAATAATAATACCCCCTAGTGTTGCTATTAACGAAATCGACGTCTACGTCGCCTTTCAGCCACGGCAATCAGGCATATGATAACAAGCATTATTATCATGATACAAACAAAAATAAATACAACTGTTAAGGTATGATTAAACAATGGTTCACAACCCGATCCTCGTATAATAGATTTGGTAAAGCCTTCCAAGCAAATGCAATCACCATCGGGTGTACAATAACCATGGGGAGAACATGGATATTTACAGGTATTGGGTTGACAAGTTAAGCTGGTTAGGTTCATGGAGTAACCTGGCCAACAAATGCATACATCTGGTGAGGTACAATTACCATTTAGACAATCATTGTGACAATGGGGTTGACAGTTTAGAGAAATCGAATTAAAGGAATAACCTGGGTTACAATTCTTTTTGGTTAGCGCCTTGTCATCATTGTTTACATATTTTTGAAGTTTACTTAATTTAAGAGAATTTCCATAATGGTAATTATCACTTAGAACGCCGCGGTAGGTAAATATTTTACTCGACAAGGGTTTACAGCGTTGGCGGTTATGGGGATCAATGCTAAAGCCATGATCACATTCACAAACATTGGGTAGAACACATTTACTATGTCGTGGACATTTCCACGGGCACAAGGGTTCACATAATTGGGTAATTTGATTTAACGAATATCCTTTATGACATTGACAATGGCCACCAGGCTGTGGACATTCACCAAAACCACAATTTTCATTACAAATTTGTGAAATATTTTGATAATGCGATATGGCTTTAGATTGGTAAAAGCGTTGTTGTTTTTGTTTGTTAAGTGTGAAACATTTGCCGCTTAAACATTTTGGTAAACAAATTCGTTTACAATTCGATTTTGAATCATTCGATGGCGTTGTACATTGCGATTTGCAAACTGGTTTACATTTCTTCAAGATGACATTGAACTCATAACCAATATCACATTTACAGGAGGAGTAACGGGGAGATTTGAAGTCATCATCATCAAAATGAGGATCACAAGGGGGGATGATCTCAGATATGGCTAAACAATTTTGTGTTGTCATATTCCATTTAAAGCCGGGTGGGCAAACACATTCTCGGGTCAGATTGTGGCAAAAGCCATTTGTGCAGGAGGAGTTTCCATTACACAAGGCGGACGATTCCATCTCCAACGAAATGCCGGCATTTTTATTCTAATACACAAAAAAGGTAAACAATAATTTTTTTTAAATCACAATTGAAATATTCAAAAAAAAAAAAATGTATACCTGTAGTACTTCTAAGTGAGTATGGAATTCCCCGTTGCTGGATTCTCTTTTTACTTGGGCACCCGTCACAACTTTGTCACTATTTGGTATTGTAATTAATAATAGAAATAATAACGACAACAACAAATCGGTGCAGTTTAAAACTAAATGTTTAAAAGATTTCATTTGTGTGATATTTTTTGTGTTGTTTTTGGTTATTGTTTTTTCTGGGTAAATATATTTAAACTGAATAGTACTACTGTTTTTTGTTTAATCCATTTTTAATTGAATATGACACAAAGCCAGTCGGCAAATGACAGGCGGTATACTGACGATCACCACCACAACAGACTAAATCAACAAGAACATCAGCGGAGACAGCAATCAACCGCAGCAGCAGTAGCAGCAGAAAAGGCAACAAAAAACCAAGAGATGTGAGCATTTGAAGAGTACGTGTCTTGTTGTTGTTGCTGTCGTCGTCGTTGTTCTATTTGTCAGCGATGAGATGCGTGATGAATGTGTTTTTTGTTTATAGACTGAACGAGAATAACTGTTTTGTTATTAAAAAAACTATGAAGGAATCATTGCCGATCGAAAAAGAACCTAATAAGAAGATGAAGAGCGCGAAAATCTGTGAGAACCTCCGAAATAATATAATGGGAGAAATGTTATTATTCTCTTGTTAAATTCCCACGATCAGTGAAATCGTGCTGTGCTGTGTTCTTATCAGTAAAATAAGATTGAAGTTATCAGATATTAAATATATATAATAGGGTGTCTCATAACGGATTTACCAACATTGTATGTTAGCAATAAAGTAAAAAATAGCAAGTAAAAAATGTCATAATGTTCTGCCGGACCGAAGTTTGTATACACGGGGTAAACATTAAAAATACTTAAAATCCACCTGGATATTTTTATGGGGTCAATGTCAAGATTAGTAAGAATATTTGACACCAAATGTAAAATCAAAATATCAAACTATAATTAAATCCGTTAAAAATGCGCTCAAAAACCTCGATATATTGAATAATAGGGTATACCGTTATATGAGGCCTATCCCGAATAATTTTTGGTAGTGAGATTTTCTACCCAATGATAATCCAAAATATCAAATTACAGCCAATTTAGTTGAAAATGTGAAAAATCTAAAAATTTTAAAATATCAAAATTTAACCAATTCGGTTTAAAAACGTACCAAGATCACAAACATTTCGGAATTTGGGAGGTAAAATTATATGGGACTCACCTGTATAGCGGAACCATTTTTTTTTTTTTTTGAAGTAGATTTGCTACCCAATGGAAATTCAAAATATCAAATTACAACCGATTCCGTTGAAAAACGTAGAGGCTCCGAAATACTAAATAATGGGGGATACCGTTATATGGATTTACGTTAGGGGTGGCCCACGAATAACGGATGTCGAGGCAACCGCATCAGCATCAATAGAGATTCAAAAACTTAAATTCTTCATATGAATGTCATTTTGTTAATTTGTGTGCAATGTTAATAATCCTAGTTCATACCAAACACTGATGATTTCGAGGTCGCCTCAACATTATGGGGGTCTCTTTAGGTGGGAATTGATCAAAGACATTAGAAATTTGTTATTCTGCTATCTGACCTTCACAAGCTGCATTTCTAGATTTTACCCAACAATTTTCCTACGGTATACAGTAATAAGGAAAAGGCGAAATTGGGCCGCTCAACTTTCATTGGCAAATGATGTCCATAGTTTGGAGTGTATTCTGGCGATAATATCAAAATTATACAAATAAATAAAACTATTTTTCGTGTGTACGTGAGCTTGACTTGGCAGCACAATATTTTCCGGATTATTAAGCCTCCTCCTTATTAAGCATCCTATGTTGAAGATAAAACCGATCATTTGTCATGGATCCTGGTTAATTACAATTGGTTCGGCAATGGCGTTAAATTCTTTCAAATATCAAAAATGTGGTATTTTGATAAAACCCTACCTGTCTTATCATGGTATGAATACTAAATTGGTATATTATTGCTCTCTTAATTGCATGGTCCATATAATGAAAATTGATAGCAAACATATCTAAAATATGATATTTGATAATAGCAGCTATACAATATTATGAACTATTGACTTTTTAATGAGGTTCATTGTTTGAATTCAAAATTCTTATCTCATGGTTGTTTAATTCATGACCCACTCCTTATGGCATAATTGTCAAGTTTTTTTTCTCTCTATTTCAAACAAAATTCACCTAATTTCATACATTCTTCATATATATACACACACCTATATGCTATTTTTCACACTTTCATAATATTATACTAAAAATTAAATATTTTTTATCAGAATTCTCTTCATAGTTTTCGACAAACACACATAACATAAAGATATGAAAAAAATAAAATAAACTCTGTACATTAGTAGTTGGATAGGATAGATATGAGAGCATTAATAGCAATAAACAACATTTGTTCGTTCGTGTTTGGTACAAAACGAATGATATATACAGAAAATAAATTATATTTGTGTATACGGGATGCTAATACAGCATATTTTGATCAATACATCATATTGGACACGACAAGAGGAGTACCTCATGAAATTTGATGAGTGGTAAGGTTTCGGCATAAACAATTTTCAAAAATATGTGTTAATCTAGTCAACCAAACAGGAAGAAATTTCAGTTGTTCCGGCATAAAAAAATTTTAAATTTTGTTACTCCAGTAAACCAAACAGAAAGATATGTCAGTCTTTTCAGTTTCATTTATAAAACGAATAGAAGCATTAAAGAACGCAGATAGTATAAATATTTGAATATTACAAATTTTTCGATTTCAGCTTTTATGGAAACGTGAAACGGCTGTAAGAGGTAATGTGGTTCCAGGCGAGATCAAAGTATCAAAAGTACCTTTAATAGGGCCAAAATCAATTTAACTATTTCATTAGCAAATGACATACTAGGAGAAACATTGTGTTATTCGATTTTTGTGGAGAGTCCAAGAATGGCAACGAAAAATCTAATTTGATTATGAAATAGTAATAAATAGTGTATTCACACTAAACTAAAACTTTACTAATTATTGATGCTTTTTGTTGGGTTTTTTTGGTCAGGTATTTTTGATGAAAATAAAATTGGTTCTTTATTTCATATTTTGATCGACGTTTCGTTGGCTTTTTTCCAACATTCAAAAATTTCAAAAAGTTCGATGAAAAAAAGTGAAGTGTGCACAAAGGTATGTCATTAGACTTTTTTATAAAAAATACAAAAAGTCACGTTTCGCCAAATACGAGATTTGTCTTAAAAGTATCGGCAGCAATCCTTCTATCGATTCGATTGCATTACATTAATAAAGACAATGATTATTTAGAACTTGTTAATAACTAATAATATCCGCATTGGTCTTTTTCTCAGGTCCTACATCAATTACTTCATGTCAGAATATGTCATGGAATACAAAACTCAATCGCCCTATTGCTGAAAACTGCAACTAAAACTTCATCGAAGGAGGAACTGAACGTGTTCACAAATGTTTATATCCTGCTAGCTAACGATTTAGTTTATTGATTTATTCAATTCATTCCATAATATTTAAATTAAATAAAGCCAACGATTTCGATTTATTTGTCAACAAAAAAAATAAGTAATCGCCTAGGTCTAATCAGAAGATAAGATATGATCCGTGATGACCCAGATCAACTCGAAATGCAAAAAAAAAAATTGTCGTGGAATGCAAAACTCATCGCCCACTTTTAGAAAACTGTCATTGGTTGCGAAAATTGAAGATACAACTTCATCGAAGGAGCAAAATCCCTACATATCTTTCGATTTGCATGAAATTTGACTTAGCGTACTGAATTAAGTCTAGAATGAAGTGTGTTAAGTTTCGGAAAATCGATTTAGATTAGAGATATAGCTCCCATGTATATTTTCGTCCGATTTTATGTTAATGGAGCACCAAAGCCCCTACATTTCGTTCGATTTGCACGAAATAGATCTTTAATATATTGAACAGACATTATAATACTCCTAGAATGTTTGGTATTGAAAATGGGATATATCGGTCCACGTTTTTGTATAAAAAAACATAACGTTACTTCAAAATATATTATATGTTAATATATATTGTGGTTAATTTGACATTTTGCCTTCTCATTGTATAGGATATCTTCCTGATGATCAAATGATCAAAATTGCTGTATTTTTAGGATAGCCCCCAAATTACCGTAATTTATGGAGTTTGTGCGCATTTTTCAAGTAGCTGTGATTCAGTATTTGTGATTTTCCTTGGGTAGAAAATCTTCCTATCTTAATTAATGAATATTGTTTTTTTAGTGTAATGCCTATGTGACGGTACCCACCATTATTCGGTATTTTTGGCACGGGTCTCAATCGAATTGGCTGTAATTATTTGGTATTATGGCTTCTCATTGGGTAGCCAATCTCCCCACGAAAAATTATCGATATGGGTAAATTAGTCTAATGCCCATATAACGGTACCCACCATTATTCGATTCGAAGGGTATTGTGGGCACATTTTTCAACCGAACGGATTACGGGTTCTCTTTAGTGTAACAAATCTACATACCAAAAAATGTAAATATTGATTCATGTTTGAGGGTGGATTCACATACAGAATAAACTATATATTTACATTCAACAGTTTTTAAGAAATTTACATTATAAAATTAGCTGAAGTCCGCAACAAAATTGTTGTTATTATATATAATTTTATAATGTAAATTTCTTAAAAACTGTTGAATGTAAATATATAGTTTATTCTGAGACTTGAAGTGGATTTCGACGTAGAATATTTTATTCTTTGACATTATATACCTAAAATTAAGTTTCATGTTACTTTAATGCACTTTGTCGAAAAAAATACTGGGAAAAATACTTTGAAAAAAATACAAAAACATTTTGAAATTTTGGTTCAAAATGTATGACTATATATTCGGTATATACGTTATATATACAGATTTCTCTTGTTCAGTGACGTATGCTAAAATTTGATGGAGAATATTTTTTTCCCTTATACTATCCTTCTAAAACGACATCTTGTGGGAAAAATGGTTAAAAACTAGTAATAAGTACGATATTAACCCTAAAATGAGTTTTTGTTTTTTTAAGATTTTTGACGTTTAGGCTGATTTTTTTTTTTTTGAATTTTAGTCTATTCTGAGACTTATAGTAAAACTTTATGGCGAACATTACTGTAGAATTCTGAGCAGCTTTAATCCCGTTTTGCATGAGCTTTCAATCACTCCTGGAAAAGGGGACCGAAAAGACCCCTTTAATGAGTCGGTTGAGGGTTAAAGTTGCATACCAAAATATTCCTCGATATTTTATCAGTAATATTGCCGAAGACACTATATACCTATAATGCAGGGATTTCAAGAAATCATAATTCGAAAATTATCAAAATTCTTGAAAAGGGGGAATATTGCCCCGCCTTTTTAGGTTACCTCCCGACGTAAACTTTCAAAACGCCGATACACGTGTCTTCTTTTTTTATCCCCTCTTTCATAATCTGTTGGAATTTTCCGGTAATTATCAAAAAAATTCAAATTTGTCGCACAGTGTTATTATTGGGCAGAAAATCTCAATTTTAAAAAATTATCAATATTGACCAAAGACATAGAAACCGTAAAGACTCGACAAAATGCATTTTGGCAAAATAGTTTATGAAAAAATATCCAGGGGGAATCAAGGTTAACAGAGGCATGTTAAGAATAAAAACGCCAATACGCGAAAATGTGTGAATTAAATGTAAATAAAATTAGAGGCCTGCACTCAAAATATGTATTTTCATTTTATAAGCTTAAGATATAGCATTAAAAACGTTTAATATTGTTCTCTCTGTTGTTATGATATCGTAACAACAGAGGAAAAGCCATCTGTTGGAAATTGCTTACGTATCAATTGTCCTATCTTTATACTTTTATGTCTTTGTATTGACTCGATGTAGGCAATTACAACAATGATTCCAACATTCGGTCTTTAAATGATTTTGGACAGATTTTTCAACCAAAGTGACAGTAAATTATAATTTTGGGTTGCCAATTGGGTGGAAAATCTGATGAATATTCTCACTGAAAATTATAAACATTGATCTAAATTTGTAAAGTTCCAGACCCTGTATAGGCATCCCCTGGGAAAATAGCATTCTCACTGAACATTTTTAAATATAAGTCAATATAATATGGATCAAGGTCAATGGTCAATTTGCTAACCTGACTCTATCTGACTGTTTGACATCTCGTTTTCCCCTGGCAGCAATTTTCCATGACATAGCTCCCATACAAAAGCCCAGATCGACTATTGGGTATAGTCCTCACATAATGGTCCAGGTATTTTGATGGGTCCTAGGAGCAAATGACTATATTTTAACATTACATAGTGGCATTTCGGTACCTTGGTGGTATAAATAACTCACAGAACATTTTTTAATATCAGTCCTTATCATACCTACATGTGATTTGTGATTGTTTCCAATGTCCAGCAAAAATGTCCTGGTGTACTGGACCACAACGATGTGAAATCCATGAGATACAATGTGTTTTGAAAAATTGTTCATGTACGAATACAGAGCAGGGTTATTGTTGGCATAATTACGATGAATTTTATTGTTAGGAGGGATGATATCGCAAAATTGTTGATGGACATTGTAGGAGCAAATGTCCATATTTTAGCATTAAAAATGTATGTAATGTAATTTCGGGACCTTGGTGGGTAAATAACTTTCTTACATAACATTTTTTAATATAAGTCTTTATCATACCTACATTCAAAGGTCACTCCTAATTTTTGCTATGTTCAAGGTTTTTGCTCAAATAGCCAACATAAGTTTATGGCATAGCCCCAACCGATTATAGTTTTACAAAATATTTTTAAGGATTTCCATTTTCGAAGAGGGACTGAATCAGACATGTTGAACCAAAACCAAAAAAATCTGAATTACCCTCAAGTGATACAATTTACATACTATATTTATTTATGGAATG